GCCCAGGAATCCAGCTTAGGCCGCCAGCTTTCCGGTAGCTCATCACTATTTTTGATTTCACGGTATGTGATTATAGTAGTCTCAGCGCTGCTTTGCTATCCACATATATAGTGACATTGCTCATCGCATTGTCCTGTCTTGGCAATAGCCTTGCTGCTTTTCCAGTACCTAGCAATTATTTCGGTATACAGGATGCTACAATCATCCCTGAGTTTGTATGACTCTGAAATGTTTAGTGCTTCTGAGGAAATTCCGGCTCCTGTCCCGGTTTTTGTTTATGCGGCATTTGTGAAGTTTGCTATCTCATTCTCCCTGTGTAGGGGTTTGATCCCAATCTTTTGACCTTTATCCTGTCCTTGAAAGAATATTTAGCTACTACAGTGCGTTGCCTTGAGGAATATTTCGGCCTCTTGGTGGTCCATCATTTTGGCTGTATCCTCAAGTATTGTCGAGTGTCCGTAATAGGTTTCCTTCCACAGTTTGTATTCTTTTAGTCCAAGAGCTCCCTTGGCAACTATGCCTCTCTATTTGCAGCAGCAGATTCAGCATAACCTGTAAGACCGCCTGCGATGTGTTTCTTTTTGCTCTCGTTAGTCCCGTGTTATCTGATGCTACCATTAGTACTTTGGTGAACATTTTCAAGTTCACGTTTCTGTCGAATACCTTCCACCTCGCCTCCCATCTACCATACTATCACTCCGTAGCTTATGACGGGTCTCACTATCGCAGTGTACATCCAATGGATGATGTGCGGTTCCAGTTTTCATTTTTTTCCGAAAAATTTTCTGCAGGTTTATATATTGCATTCAGACCTTTTTTCATTTTTTCTTCCGTGTTTTTCTCCTATAGAGTTTGGAGTCCAGAACGACCTCAGATACTTGGTTCTTTTGATAGTTTGATGGTTTCCGTCGACATTGTAGAACTGCGGATCAATATATTTTGTTGTGAACAGGACTAGCTTGGATTTTGAGGGTTCACTCCTAATTCATTCTGATCTGCCCATCTGAGAGTTTCTTTAATGTCGATTCCATGCTTTCACTGATGATTGATAAGCTGACGCCTCTCATCAGTAGTACTACGTCATCAGCATACGCAATCAATTTTATCCTCTTTTTTCTAAAGGTTTTCAGGATCATATTGATCACCAACAGCCACAAGAGTGGAGATATCACGCTTTCTTGTGGAGTCCTTCTGGTTGTTTTTTTCTCTACGGTATAGTCACCATTTTCTGAATTAATGATTCTGGTTTCCAGCATTTTTATTATCTACTTTATGACTGGCTCTACTGTAGCAAAACGCCCCAAGTACTCTATGTAATTAGTTAGATGGTAAATGGCGAGCGGTATATTGATGGTGTTTATTTCCTTGAAACAAACTATTGAGGTGTAGGTACTAAATTATATTTTATTATACATAAAACCCAAAAATCTCAGCAAAATATCTTCCAATTCTGACAGCCTCATCTATTTTTTCCAAAATTCAATTACTTCACATCCGTTCAAAAAATGTCATTATTACGGACCACTGAAATATCCCTACTAATAAAGAAACGCCCTATTCCTAATAACTTATAAGTTAACTCATTTCAACACTTCCGATTCATTCCTATTAACTACCCTTCTCGTATTTCTTTAAATTCTTTAAAATTTCTAAATCCTTTACTGACTGCTTATGAAAAACCCAAAATAATTACCTATTTGTTTATTAGTATAGGTATTACTAACTTATTCTTATTCTTGCAATAATTTCTACATGAAATTTAAAAACCCTAATTCAAAATTGATTTCATAATAAGTTTCCTTTAACAACTTCCCAATATTTCAAGACAATTCTATTTCATGAACATCAAGTTTCTTTTCAAAATTTCCTATTCCATTTAATAGTTTATTTAATCAGAACAAATTCTATTATAAGATTCCTTTAACAACTTTCCAATATTTTAAGAAAATTCTATTTCATGAACATCAAGTTTCTTTTCAAAATTTCCTATTCCATTTAATAGTTTATTTAATCAGAACAAATTCTATTTTCGGATTCCTGTGCCTAGCTAATAAATCCAACTGTTTAATTCATAATTCCAACTCAAAATTAAATTAGAATGTCATTATATCTGAAGGCAATTAAAGTTATGCAATAATGTTCCATTGATATTTCACTTTATAGTCATTCATCTTTTATAAAGTCAAAAGTTTTACTAGGAAAATCACTCAAGTTTTAAGGCATTGAATGTCATTTGTTAATTCACTTCTTATCATTCAGAATCATGGATAAAAGTCAGAAAATTATTAAACACTAAAGTACCTACTTACATTTAACTTTGCACACGTAAAATTACTTAATTAATTACTCAAAATTTTTAGCTAGCACGCACATAAATTTTGACGAATTTAATTGTTCTTTCTTTCAAAATTTTTCCGCTACTTTTTCAAAGACTGTTACCGAGGCAATACAAGAAACTTTCCGCAAATATTTTCTCCGACTGACACTTTAGGTACTGTAGATTTTATTTCAAACTGGACAGGACTGCGAACTCATCTCTCAACTGACCACTAACAACTGCCTTACACTTCTAAAACCGCGGTATTTATATTAAATCGATCCCCCCGCAAAGTATTATTAATTATCCCCCAAATCGTCAATAGGCGGTAGCTTGACTATCAATCAGACAATTCCATTGGCCGACCTAAATATTATTAAAAATAATGATGCAATTTCCTTGAAATTTTTATCATTTTAAGTTAAAAAAAATCGAATAATTATGTCGCAATTTCCTGATTTTATCGGGGTCACTACGGATTTTTAGGTTCAAGAATGCCATAAATCTTCGATTTAATTAGGTACGATGGCCTAGCTGGAAAAAAAGTTCATTGATCGAATGTTAGGATGACATCACGCTGGGTGTCGAAATACGTTAGCGTTAATTTGTTTCATTCTAATTTATCGATACTGATTTGGAGATACCGGAAATTCTGTTTTTGATTATTCGATATTTATTAAATTTTTACAGTAAAAACATTGTGATTTATGGGTCTATTTTCTCGGAATATTACACTACCTTCAGGTGCTCTATGGATTTTTCAATGGACTCAATCATCACATGTCCTGAAATGCACCAGAAATCATGAACCTATGGTGTATTTTTTCCCAAGATGGATTTTTACATTGAAAACTTTGAAACATAAACTTAGCCCTGATATGTTGCCAATTGAGGTGTTCCTGAAGGCTGACATCAGTTTAACAATGCATGTCATGCAAATGGCATTTTGCGACCAATAGGCGGCATTGTTTATGTTTCAAAGTTGACAATGTCAAAATCTATCTTGGGAAAAAATAAACTGTAGTTAGATTAATTATTACAAACATTATTTTCATTAAATCCCTACAATAATTCTAATTGATCAAACTTTTAATTAAAATTTCAGGAGTATAGACAACAATTTTACCTCATCTACGAAAACATTTTAATTAAAACTTTTCACTACTTTTAATAATTAAATCTTTTACTACTAAGGATCATAGACTTAAACAGAACAATATTATTTTACTCAAATTCCAGGTCAACATTACACATATTATTTTAATTCTCAATCCAAAATCTTCAATAAAATCATTCTACTAATCGGCAATCGTTGAGTGCATTATAATTTCCTATTTAAACTCTTAGCAAAAATATTTGAAAGTTATTTCACTCAGAGTTAATTAAATTTCTGCAATAATGCTCCATAGTCTTTTCACATTCATAACTTCCTAACTTGTCAACATGGTCAATTAAATCGCGAATTTAATTTCATTCCGAGGCAGAAAATAACTTTTTGTAAGTCAACTGTTGAAAAGTACCTAAGTGAAATTTTTAATTCTTAATTATTAATTAATCTTGAATTCAATTACTAATTCGTAATAGCTTCTTCCTCTCATTCCTATCTGCTTAAATAGTATTCAATCTCACCATAAATATCATAAGGTTATCTCCCAAATGACCTCACCACCTGCGTGTCCTAATTCAGTATTTATCGGAGTAATGTTATTTATCGTTTCCGCTCTTCAAAAATGCCGACAGCGCGTGTACACAATTAAACAAGTTAGCCGTGTAATTAATGTCGTTTGGTGTTTAGATTTATGAGTTTATATAAAAGCAGGTCAAGAAGTCTTGTGTCACTTCCGGTTGCGTAATTTAGTTTATTCGGACCGCTTTCGTTAAAGATAACTGATAAAGGGGGCTCTGTATAATAATTGTTAGATTAGATTTTTGACCTTTATCGCTGGCTTATGCAGCGAAACAGATAACTACGTTACTTATTATTTTAATTTGAACTTAGGGAATTGCAATTGAAACTATTGAGAGTATTTTATTTACTTTATTTCTTTCCAATTATAACTTTGATTATTGGAATTTTAATTTCTAGATAAAGTTATTTGATTGAATTTAAATTTTCATTAAGGTAACTAATAATTGTCAAAACTATTTTTCCTAAATTCCTCTTTTTCAATTTTCAAATCCCTATATTTTATGGCTCTCTTTTGGGATCTTCACACTAGGGAACTCTTGAAACATTATATGTATATTCTTCACTGTTGGAAGAAATTTTGTGAAATTTGATTCTCTAGCTTTTCAATTGACTTTAAGAAAGAATATGTAGATATGCAATTAAAGTTTAAGGTTGATTAATTTATTGAAGATACTTTTTCGGCCCGGCGCGACGCCTATTTTATTAAGAATTCAAAATAAATATTGTATGTAGGTAAAAATAATTGACCATAGTTGTTTTACCCTCTCATCCGCAATTAGGACTCACAATAAACTTATCGTCACCCAGGAACGAAATAAATTTACCGTTCGGCAACACAACGTCCTTAAAGTTCGGCTGTGGCAAATTCGTTTTTTTTTTTTTTATTAGAAATAAATAGGTATCTACTTAATTTTCATTGGTCACAATTAATTAATTGTTCATTCCATGAAATAATCAAATCTGAAACAACCAAACTCTATTTGTATGTTTTAGGGGTTACTGTGAAAATCTTATGGACGACCTACTACGAAGAATGGAACAATACGCCAACAATCTAGAAGTGCTTGTCAGCGAAAAGACTGAAGAGCTAAGCCAGGAAAAACGTCGATCCGAAGAGCTTCTTTATCAAGTAATCCGCCATATTGTGTGTCTATAGATTTACTGTAATAATGAAGTAATTTGAAATATTTAAAACAACTTATTTCAGGTGCTACCGAGACCTGTGGCTCAGCAGTTGATGCTCGGCGAAATGGTACAGCCCGAACAGTTTGAGTGTGTCACTATTTATTTTAGTGATATTGTTGGGTTTACGTCGCTTTGTGCTAATAGTACACCTATGCAGGTATATTGTTTCTACTTATAAGAAAGGTCCAAATATATTTAAACCAGTTTAACAAAATTATTCCCAATTTGACAGTAGTTTTTGTGTTTCAACTTTTTTAAATTCAAATTGTTCTCAATCACTCGATGTTGAATGAAGTATAAAATTCATCAATTAGATGACAGGTTTTGAGGTTTACCTTGTTATTGAACAAATTTCAAATTAAGAAACATCAGAATCAGATACTTCAGTAATTATACACAAAATTGTTTTCAGGTGGTAGATTTCCTCAACGATTTATACAGTACCTTCGATCGAATAATAGGATTTTACGATGTGTATAAAGTAGAAACAATAGGCGACGCCTACATGGTAGTTTCCGGCCTTCCAGAACGAAATGGAGACAACCATGCCAGAGAAATCGGCTTGATGGCTCTGGCAGTACTGGATGCGGTGCGCAGTTTCACCATTGCGCATCAACCAGATAGAGTGCTACAGTTGAGAATAGGTAGATCTTTTTTTAAACTATAGTAGTAGCAGCAGATAATACTTATATGTTTTGAAAAGCTCTACTACTAGATCAGCTTGGATAACTTACTATAAATACCAAATTTCTAACAAGCTATTTATTTTCTGAAGGTGTCCATTCGGGTCCGGTATGCGCAGGAGTCGTGGGTCAAAAAATGCCCCACTATTGCCTATTTGGAGATGCAGTGAATACAGCTAGCAGAATGGAAAGTACCGGGCAACGTAAGTATAACAGATTTATCAATTTGAAATTTCAATATATTTTTCTATCAGCTCTAAAAATCCACGTCAGCGAAGCCGCCAGACAAATCTTCGACAAATTCGGTACCTTCAACTTGGAACTTCGCGGCGAAGTCGAGCTGAAGGGCAAAGGGTTCGTCACTACTTATTGGCTTTTGGGATGTTCCGACTCGGATCCTAGGCCGCCGACACCTAGGGCACCTAGTACTTTGGAGTTGGAGAATAATAATCCGTATCCGTTAGTTTTTATGGGTTGATAATTTTTGTTTCAATGGAGGATCTCGAATTTAGCAGATTAGGTGCAACTATTTCAATTGGAAAATTTGGTTTTGGGAGTCTTCGGGACCGTGGTTGAAGAAAAATTCGGAAATTTTCACTTTGACTTTTCGGTTGAAAATCGAAATTTCAAACCTTCATTACTCAAAAACGACAAGTCAAAGAAAAATCGCTTCAAATGAAAATTTGAAGATCTTCATGAGTTCTACAAAAATGATAAGTTAATCCTCTAGCTACCACTTACGGTTTTCGAGATTTTGAAGTATTGAAAAAGTTGGGTAAGGAAAAGTGGTGTTACAGATAATTGATACCTATTATTAATAAATTATTTATTTTTGGAATTTGTATTACCCTGTATCTCAAAAGTTAAGACGATTTGGAGAGTCTTTGAAATCCTCTTTATGTTATGGTCAAAGAAAAATTCGGAAATTTTCTGTAGAACTCTTAAAGATCTTTATAGTTTTTCTCCAACTTTTTTGAGTTTCTATATTTTGCTACAAAATACCTCATTCAGTATTAATGTCAGTATTATAGTGTTTAAGTAAACGGTAATATAAAGGCGACGACATATAGGTACCTACATGTGAAACCCTAAGTAGGTACTTTTAGAAACTATTCGTAGCTTGTCAATGAGCTAGAAAAGTTACTAATCAATTATGGAATATCAAACGGACTCTGTCATTAAATTCGAATGAAAGCTAATAAATTTGATCTTTGGATTAATAAAGGACGAGAAATGAAGACAGAGAATAAGAAAACAAGAAAAATCTTATTATGTTTTATACGTAAATTGGTTGAACAAGTATTCCAGAGTCAAATGGGAAAATGCGTCGTCTTTGTGGAAACCGAAAATATACAAAATATGTGTAATTTAAATGTCAATAAATAAGTTCTAAGATAAGTAATGCTAAAAATCAAAGTTTACTATAAATTAAGAATAAAAACTGACTTAAAAATATCAATTTTTGTATGTGTAGCTAGAAGAATTTCTGTGTGCTTGATTGCTATTAAAAAGTGATAAATAATGTGTTGAATTGAATAAATTTCCAAGGGCTTACTCTTATAGTCCCCAGTAGGTACATCGACCTTTATATTTTGTAACTCATGTACACAGGAAACAGAGCTGGGAGTAACGACAAAAAAAAGTTACTTTACTTTAACGAGTTACTAAAAGTAACGCGTTACTTGGTAACTTCTTTACTTCTCAGATTGATTGATAAGTAACTGTAACGACGTTACTTTCCTGAAGTAACGCGTTACTTGTTACTATGAAAGTAACTCGTTCTCTCAATGTATTTATCTTTTTTACAAATAATTGACGAGTGAGGAAAAGGAAAATAAGTAATCCAAAAACTTTGTATGTCAAATAAAATGTTGGTAGTACACGCGCCGCCTCTGCTCTAAAGACACTATATGCAGACACTGGGACGCTTCAAAGAGCAGGTTTGTCCAAAACCAAGTGCTCTATTCAGTCGCTTAATCCTTAATCCGCTTGAATTTTGCAAGAATACTCTTCCACATACATAGTCGGACTCACAAACTAAAAACATATTGGCATTTCGTATAGGTCTTATTTGATTGTTTGGACTGCTGTGTTGGTGAGTCAAATTAAGGAATAACGCAATTTTCGACGTAAATAGTTATTTTTAAAGTAACGTGTTACTTTAAAAGTAACGAACTACTTTTAAAGTAAAGAAGGTACTCTCAAAGTAAAGAAGTTAAAGTAACGCGTTACTTTCCAATAAGTAACGAAAATAAAGTTATCATTATTCGAAAGTAACTGTAAAGTAACGCGTTACTTTTTTCAAGTAACGTCCCAGCTCTGACAGGAAACTTCCTGAGCTGCTTCACAACACCAAGGAAGTTGGACAATTTTGTTCATATCTTCACCCTGGGCGATAGGACATTCTCGCGCTAGCTCTTTGTGGAGTTGTCTTCCTGACGTTTCTAAGGAAGGTGATACATGTTCATATCGTTTCAATGCCAATCGACTATTTTTTATATTACATTACCGATATCACATTTGTCGGACAAAAATCTCGTGGCTTTGGGGATGTCCGACGCCCCCAACATGAAACCACAGTGACACATATAAAAAACGTCAGACGCAAAACTTTATGAAGAGCTAGCGCGGAAATGTTCCATCGCCCAAGATGAAGATATGAACAAAATTGTCCGACTTGCCTGGTGTTATGCAGCAGCTCAGGAAGTTTCGCGTGTACATGAGTTACAAAATTTAATGGTCGATGACTATTATTATGTAATCGATGTCTGTGATTTATGCTCTAACCTTATAAATCACTTATGTTTATATGGTATAAGCAACTGAATATATTATGTTTTATTTATTTATGTAATACCATTTGTTTTATTTAATAATAGTCGAATTCAATATTAGTTTTACTCTGTAATTCATCATTATTAATCTCCTCATCTACAACTATTTATTAATGCATTTTCAATCACTATGTAGTTCAACATCGAGCTGCGTAGATTGCAGAGCTGGGCAAAGCCCTCAGTGAAAGCGCTTGAAGCACTAAGCCTTAAGCCCTTTCTCAAAATACTTTCATCTCTAGCACAAAGTCTTTTTTATTTTCAAAAGTGCTTCACAAGCACAAAGCCCTCAATGATTTGAAAAGTGCTTCAAGCACATTAAAAGTGCCTGGGATGCCTTAAAAGTGCTTTGAAGCTCTTTAAATACGTTTGAAGCTCTTTAAATGTGCTTGAAGCTCTTTAAATATGCTTGAAGCCCTTTAAATATGCTTGAAGATTTTTAAATGTGCCCAAAGCACTTTGAATTTGTAATAAAATTCTCAAAGTTGCAGAAACTACCACGCACACTCATCAGTTGAATTAGTATAGCAGAGACGAACTTCAAATTTTACAGAGTAGCAGTAGTTTTTTTTTACGAGATGAAGTTCTGGGGTTCTTGGGGTAGTTGGGGTACTTTTTTGAAAAATCAATTCATTTTTTTTTATTCAATTCTAAGTTCAAACCCAAAACCTCCATTGTGATGAAAGAAAACAAATTGGACGGTTCTAGTTCAAACAGTAGAAAAAAAATTAAGCGGCAAACACATCGGTCCAAAATTTTTAGGTGGGGGATAGGTTAAATAATGGTCAATTCAAATTCCTTTCAAAGTGCTTTAAGCCCTTTTGAAGTACTTCAAGCCCTTTCAAAGTGCTTCAAGCTCCCGAAAGTGCTTCAAACTCTCTAAAAGTAATTGAAGTTCATTGAAAGGGCTTGAATTACTTACTTATTTTCAATAACAAATTACCAAGCACTTATCTGAAGTAATTGACTTTGCAAGCTCCAATTTCAATTACAAATATATAAATGAGCTTGGAGCACAGGGCTCTCAAGTCCTCCAAGTGCTTCACGCACTTTTACAAGCACAAAACACTCAAGCCCTGCCCAGCTCTGGTAGATTGATTGTTGAAAAGAAGAGGCTCCACAAAAAATTTACAGAAACGGGAAACGAGTGACAATTGGACAATTACGTAGTTGTTTTCTGAAGGTGCAAGAATTTGAGGAACTCCTCTCATAGAATGTATCTGCTCTGAAAATAACATTGATGGGAATCCCAAATCATTTAAGTCACACTTTAACAATCTTAGAAATAGCTTTTTTCTTCCTTGTAATATGAGCTGTAATGGCTCTACTGGCTGTAGTATAATCAAACGACTGTAGGCTTGTTTCTTCTCTTGTGTTTACTCGAGAGTCGAGCCGTACCACCATTAGTAATCAGGCTCCGGAAAACTCATTTTCCAACGTCACTGATGTTTCTGGATACTCTGTTTCTTGAGATGATATTATAGGACAAGTAAAAAATTCACCTGATAAGTTGTCACGTGTCACGTGGACACGGGATGGAATTCCCTTGCTTTTTATAAAAAAATGCAAGTACACCCTTGCGACGCCTCTGGCAAATCTGTCCGGCTGCCAAATGAAAAAATAGGCTTGGACCTTTGAGTTAAGGTACAGCTTTAGTACCATTTGATATCTTGAACCATAATATGAGGGGTGCCAGAGTGGCACTTTTGGGTAACTTGAAATATTGAAGCTCACGGGGTCCAAAAAACAGAACTCGCCCATTTTATTACGAATGAAAGGGAGTCGGTTAACCAAAATAAGATATTTGTAGTTCAACAAATGTTTTATATGTGATGTAGTATAACGTATATTATACTTTTGAAACACTGCGCAATAGATGGATAGAAAGTATCTAGTTTTATTTAAGTTTAATTTCAGAATATTCACAGTAATAATGGACATTATTATTAGAATGCATATCCAGATAACAGAATATTCAGAGTCGGAAGTAGACATTTCAGTCACCTGCCATCAAGCTGAGCTTCGCGAGTTCCCAAATTGCCACACAATTGGCCACCTTCGCACGCGCGAAATTCTTTACAAGGCAGACCTACATGACGTGCACAACTGCAACTTGCTGTTGAACATGGCTTCTCACTTGACCAGAAATTTTTCAGCAATTCTGGGGGCCGATTCTCGGCCATGGAGTAGAGCTCCCCGAGAGAACAAATTTATTCGTCTTTGTCATTTTAATTTACTTTTCGATTACGTTGACAAGGATAAAACATTCGTTCTATCGGAGAGCTCTACTCCTTTAGATGAGAATTCGGCCCCTAATAGTGCCAACCCCTTTGTTATTTGGAAATTGTATGGGTACCACAGAGTGTGTTGCTTATTCGTTGCCTATCCGTCAGTTAGATTGTTAGATTCGAGGAGGGAGGGAACGGAGATGCTGCTGCATTCCAGATGCAAGCTTGCAAATGGCATCGTTTATATGTAGTTCAAATGCGTCTGTTGTCAGAAGGAATTTCCTAATTTTAGGAGGAATTTTCTTAGATAACCACACTTTGCATCGAACATCTGACATGTTGCGAACTTCCTTCTTGTAGCCGTAGTAATGTGCAATAAAGCTTATACACTCTGCTATACATTGTTGCATAGAAGATTATTCTACACAACCTAAATGTTTAATCTATTTCCTATAGTAATTATTAGCAGAGAAGCCGTCGCTCTTTCATGTTTTTGTTTTTTTTTTTTCATTCCGTTTTTTCTTTCTTCAAAGTCTATTCCTAACAATAAACCACTTCACTGTGAGAACCGCTCTGCTGCTGGCGTGTTTGTTTGACTTGCGTTAATTTTTAATTTCAATTTTCAATTTTAAATTTTGACTGATTTTAACTGTAATGTCCAGCTTCGTGTTTTATGTGCCTTGTATGTATCTGGAATTTTTAGCAATAACGTTATACTTGGAAGGAATGTTGAATCCCTATAATTTTAATGTTTAAGTATGTAGTTTTTACTTACGTTATTTTCCTTGTTTGTTTGTTAATTTTATTTTTTTCTTCTCGAACTTTTTAAACGTCCACAGATTAGTTTTTTTTTTTTTTTTTTTCTCAATGTTTTAATGATTTGATTGATTTTTGTTTTTTCAATTTTTAATGCATATATTAGTTTAAATTTACTGAAGAAGACCAAAATATATGGTCGAAACGTGGCTGAATAAATAACAACGTCTTTTTTTTGCTGTCCTATTCCGGCTACTCCTTTTCACTGTTGCGTAAAGTAGGGACGATACCACATAATGGAACTAAATGTTTAATTTCAATATTAGATCTCAGAACTTGTACAGCTTTAGACTTTCCAATCCCAAAAAATTGTGAAGTGCCATCACAGCTAGTGCACTGCTAACAATGAGTTTGCTTGGGTTCCCAGATTATGAACTGTTGCTGCTATATCTGAGAACTTGGCATTGAAGACTCCATCCACATAGCGCATTTAAGATTTAGCTTTCTGAAGCCGCTTTCCAGCTGTGTGCTTCAAGTATGGTGCAGCACAGCGTTTTGTGTTTGAAACGCAAAAGTTAGCTCGAAGCGCAGTACGGCTGGAACACGAATACGCGCTTGAAGCATTTGCGCGCGCAAAAGCTCGATTGCGTGCTCAAAATGGTCAGCTGGAAAGCGGCTTGTAGAAGTGTACAAGCAGAACATAAACGTCGGTGTCATCAGATAGAATCTTGATATTGTTCGCTGCACACCTTGACAGACGAATAGCCTGCTGTACAATTATAACGTCTGAGTGAGTTACCAAATCTAAGCGAGAAGTTACAACGCCAGAAGTTTATAATTCAATTGGGATTGTATTAGTACCAGTAACGACCAATTTGTGTGGAAGAATAACTCATTATGTTGTAGTAGTTGATTACCAATTAAGGTTGTTAGTTGCATGAATGGGTCAATATACTGTTGCGACTTGGAGGAGATGTGTCTGCTCTTAGTTGTATGGAAGTACTGTTAACTCCTATTTTTGACCGCGTTGCAGTCTTTGGACTGTACTCGAAGTACCTGTATCAAAAACAAGAAATGTGTCCTGTTCTTCATAATCATTGCAATCACATTGTCAATAATAATTTGTTATGTGCTATTATAACTATATTTCAAGTTGCCCAAAAGTGCCACCCTGGCATCCCTCATATTATGATTCAGTCTATCAAATAGTACTAGAATCAATTATAAAACTTTAGTTGTACCATATGGTTGTACCCTACTTCAAGGTCACATGGCTCGGCGACCGGACAGAGGTCACAAATTACAGGGCTACTTGCACGCAATCTAATATTCCTAAGTTGCCGGATTGTCTCCTTACCAGAAAACTTAGCTGGGACTGTAGGTACCTTTTAAATCCGAAACAGTAGATAGGTAGACATCAAGAAATTTGGTTTTGTATCATAATTGTATTTTGAACAACATGGAGAGGGCGCTCCAGGTTGATTCTGTATAATCGAACTTCTCTATAGCCTTTGACAGGGTTAACCATCACACATACTGATTAGGAAATTTGGTTGTTTGGGGGTGAGAGGTCCAATTCTGAGTTGGTTTGCTGATTTTTTTGTTGGGAAAAATCAGGCACTTAGGTAAGGCGATGTTGTGTCTAGCATCTTTGATATTTCTTCTATCGTACCCCAGGGGTCTCACTGTGGGCCGATCTTGTTCATATCCGAAGTGGAGAGTTCCAATGCACACAACAGCTCATTTTTTTAATTTGCGAAGGCTCACAGCTGCTACAAGAAGCTATTGATTTTTTTGATAAATGGCGTGGCTTAAACGAAATAGACCTAAATATTGCCGAATGTTATAACTTTTTCCAGGTTAGCACAAACACTGAAATTGCCTTACACAATTAATAACACATCAATCAGGGAAGTAGCAAGTATTCGAGATTTGGGAGTGGAATTTGACTCCAAGATGGCATTTAGTTTTTAGTGTCCATATTACCAATATTGTGTCAATGGCTGTTAATGTAGGCCCACTATTGATATGTCTGTGAATAGATTGCGAACATTGCACTGTACGATGGTGCGATCCATGTTGGAATACTCATCGGTTGTTGTGGTCACTCCAATATGCTGTTCACATTGCAGCTCTAGAAAGGGTTCAAAATAGATTTCTTAGACTGGCTGCTCACTGATTGGGCTTAGCTCATGATGAGTATACTTATGACGGGATGAAGGCCTTTTTGATAGTGTTCATACCTTGCAAAGACTTCAGGTGGATCTTTTTTTCCTTTACATATTTTTGAGAGGGTAAATTGACTGCCCAGATCTTTTTGGTTTCGTTTCTTTGAGAGCAGGAGAAACGAGGGCGAGAGGTTCCGACCTGTTTTGTGTACTATTCCATAATACTAATTATGGTATGAATGAGTAATGAGTCGATCTCACGGGTGCTCAGGTTTGTCAACTCAAGGAGCCGGAGTATTGTCATCTTTGGTTGTCCTTCTGTTGTTGCCTTTACAAGGAAATTGCTTAACATTGCTTGCTAGACAGTTCTTGGAATAAGTTGTATCTGTTTTTTTGGAATTCACAGCAATTGAATAGTTTAACTGGGTGAATTTATCATGATGTTGTTGGTTGACTGGTTCTTGGTTCTATAAAGAGTTGTATTTGCAAGAACTATACACTTGTGTATAAACTTTATCGTTATATTGAGAGGAAGGTTATAGGTTTATCAAATAAGACACAAGAAATTCAAATCCACTGTACAATATTTATTAAAATCAACAAGAACAAGAAATACAGCCTCCTACAAATTAAACTACTTTGACCACATTAGACCTTTAAAGGAAGATGAGATATCCTATTATTCACAACCTCAATTTAAAAAAAAAACACTTTTCAAGCCCTACATGAGAATACATAAAAAATAAAATCTTAAATAAATATAACTATGTTAACAAAAAAAATATATATAAATCCTATTGGTATATACAATTTATACTGGAATAAGTTGTATCAAAAAATAACAGAATGTAACCAAAAAAATACCCTAGATAATAATTGCTTTTCCTAATAATTACCATTAATTAACTGGAAATAGTTGATTACTTTTCGCAGTCTTTATATTGCGTTTTTGAGAATAATAATCACATACTAATAAATGCAATTCTATAAGCAACCTACTAAAATACCTAAATTTTATGTTAATATGGACCTCATATTATTTAATTTTATATTGTTTTCTGTATAACACCTTTATACAGTTTCGATTTTTTGTGTTCGAGGTAGTAAATCAAAATTTGTGCATGTTTCCTATTTTAACACAACTCTGTCAAAAAATTGGATAAGTTACTTCAACTTTGAATATGTTTTATTGAAAAAGAAAATGAATTATGGATAATTCCATTTAAGGCAATATGTTATTTCTTAGTTTGGCACGGATATACTATTAATGGATGATTGACAGAGTTTTAAAAAAATGCTAGATGACTTACTTAATGGAAAGTATCATCACAGATACATTGATAAATGCAATGCTGAGCAATTTTTTCGCTCTTATTTTCGATTACCTTGAGTTGGTTTGGGCGCCTGTTTTACTGGAGGATTCTGCAAAATAATACGAAAATGTTGAGAGATTGAAGACATAATATACTTATAAGATTTGATAATCTAAGATTGAGTTTCAAAATTTTTGATCGAAGTGCAATAGCGCATACATTCTTTGAGCTAACAGAATTTTATTATTTTGAATTTCTTACCTGTTTCTGTTGCTGAGTCTGTTGGGGAACCTTCTGAGCTTGTGGAGTTGCCTGTTTAGGTTGGGCTGGAACCGCTTTGGCTTGCTGCTTTGCTTGTGTGGGTGCTGGTTTAGCGGTAGTAGGCTTCGGCGTAGTCGTAGTTGGTTTTGGAGTAGTTGTGATTGGTTTAGGAGTAGTTGTGGTTGGCTTTGTAGTGGTTGTGGTTGGCTTTGGAGTAGTTGTAGTAGGTTGAGTAGTTGTAGTTGGCTTTGGAGTAGTTGTGGTTGGCTTTGGAGTAGTTGTGGTTGGTTTTTGTGTAGTGGTTGTAGCTTTCTGTGTAGTTGAGGGTGGTGGAGTGGTTGTTGTTGGTTTTTGAGTTGTTGGTTTTGGAGTTTCAACAGGAGCTGCACGTTTCACGCGCTCGTCCTACAAAAATAAATCAATTTATAAGATGGTAAAACATAAATATAAAAAAATAACATTTTAAAAACTTACTTGTCGTAAATCTTCCCAACCGAGGTTGGCCAACGGAATCCTACCCAAATAATCATTAAAGGGGGATCCCAAATACACAGTATCTCGTATGATTTTCACATCGCAGAAGAAGCTTTTGATTTTATCAGTGTGAACACTATCGGCGATTTGTCCGTTTTTATCGACCCTTAAGATTGTCGATCTTTGAGCTCCCAGCCAAGATGGGCTCGAGGTAAAATGTCCAATCTAAATTATTAAATAGTATTACTAGCTAGTTTTTAACTTAAAATCGATAAATTCTTACAAAATGCATTGCTTTTAGTGAAAATTCATTGGGATATAATTCATCGATTTTTCTAAAGAGATATTCAGTAACACCCATAACCCTGGCAATAGCTTTCCTGAGCCATGGAAAGGGGCCAATCGATTGGAACATATTGGGATGTTCGTTGTCAAAAGAATAGAGTAAAGGCACAATAAATCCTCCTTTGCCATCTGGTGTCAAATTGTCTGGTAATCCTGGTAGACCGTCAATGAAAACATCTTTTTTGCCTATAAAAAATGAGTGTTAACATAAATAAATAAATTGGAATAGTTAGAGAACAAAATGTACCTTGTTTGGGACCTTTAAGATGATATCTTTGGATGCGGCTGGATCCTGTTTCGGCAACAATAACAAATTCTTCATCCTTGCTCAGAGCCACTCCGTTAGCAAAGAATAATTCATCGATAAGTACTTTATTGGTTTTAGTTTTGGCATTGTAATGCATCAACCTGTCAAAAAAAATGGATTTAAATAAAGAAAGTTAAGTTAAATGATCCAAACAAAAACAGTATACTGACAAATATTTTGAGGTAGATTTCAATTAATTTAAATCGGGTATTGATAGAGAAAAACAAAATGGCTTTGATACTTTTTCTCAAGATTTTGGATAGAGTGCCATTTAAAGGAAACGCTATTTCATTTCAACTTAATTCTTATAATATTAATACTTAATTATTGTTATTATTGATCCAGAGCCAGATCCATACGAAGCATATAATTTATTTATATTGCAAATTTTGCATCAGGTAGTCATTTTAATTGGATTGTTTTGCTGTTTTGTATGTTGAAATTTTTTTCGAAGCAGAGACTCATCTGATAGGATAATTTTCTTTTTTTCTTATTTTAGTAAATTTTTAACTTTTCTTATGATGATTATAAATCCAGTACTTAAAATTGTGCACAAATCTGGTTTCAGTTCAAATATTTAAGCAAAGTTACAAAAAAAAAAATATATTATTTACTACTTCACACAACATACAAGACATATGAAAAAGGTTCAAGTTCAAACAAACATTAAAATAGCATTACTTCAATTGGGATTAGAAGTCAAACAAACAGGTTTTTAAATGTAAAAATTATGCTAAGTTGTTGTCAACCTATCCCACTGACCTTTGTATCTTTATTATCAATTTTATACAAACAAGCACCAGCTTTACATTTATGCCACTTATCAATGACTAATCACTCATGAAATATAATTATTTTTGACCATAAAATCTTATCATGTTTAAATTAAATACATATAATAATAAAGTCTTACCTTCCAGATGGATCAGCTAACAAAGTGAACAAACCATCTTCTAAAGTAAAATCGCTGGACGAATCTGTCCAATAAATATCGCCATTACTTGCCAAAGCTACACTATTGAAGATCTTCGCTTTTTTTCCTTCAATTACAGTGTTTGGGCCAACTAACTGTTCCTTTTTGCCTACAAAAAAATAAATATGTTATTATAATAATTAATGCATTTTAAAAGAAACTTACCAGTTTTAACATCCACCTTAAAAATACCATAATAAGCATCTGCGGCAAAAAGATAACCATTCTGATCAAATTCAATTCCCAGCGGTCTACCGCATATACTTTCTTCGTAGCTATTTTTGCAAGGTCTACCAAATTTAACTATGGGAGTTATGTGTTCACCTAGAAAAAAAATTATAATTTTTTCATAGTTACAATAATATATGAATCCTTACCAGTCAATTTAACAATATCTCCTGTATACAAAGACGTATACAATTCACCATTTAACTCAGCTAGCCCTTCGGGCCCTACAAAATCTCCCTTGTGCCATTTTTCTATATTGTCAAGACGATTATTCAACGATAATTTTCCTGTAAACGGTTTTGGGGAGACACGACTAGAAGAAGGAAAAAAATTACAAATTAAATTAAAATTCAAAAAAAGCTTTATTATATTGTGAATTCAAACCCGATCTCGACGCAGAAAACAAAAAATTCAAAATCGGCTTGAGAAAAAAATGTCTTCGAAAGTCAGCGAATCTCAACATGATGCTGGAGGGGTTGAGTCTGCGATTACAGAAATATTGGGAAAAAAAAGAAAAATGCAAATTCAATTTCCTAAATTTTGGTGTTAAGGGAGTCAACAACTTCTACTGGACTTCACCGAAAAGGAGATGACCTAGTCTCAATTACAAACATTATTGAAAAAAATTGGAAAACGTATCCTTAGTTAATGTTAATATATAGCACTTTGGCCTGGGAAGATATAATTCTCTTCGCTCTATCGAAGTAATCCTACTGGCAAAAGCAGATGCCCAAAAAATCTTAAGGAACAAGATCAAAATCTTGAATGACGAAGGTAAGTACAGGGTGTTTCAAATTCGAGCCACATCATTGGGATCTCGGAAACAGTAAGAGATACAGGATTAGTTAAAAACGGAAAAAAAAGTGGTGGAAGCTATTGAGTGCGCTCATTGTGAAGCCAGCTCTATCCTCCTAGCTGTGGACCTAGAGTTGAATAAGTAAATAATTCGGGAAAATTGGATTGTTGTGAAAATAAACAAAAAAGTAAGGTAGGTGTGCCAAGAATCAGAAAAAAAACTGTGAAAAAGGCCCTAGAAAAATCTGAAAAATTGCTAAACATGGTAGAGAAGAGAATGAGAGAAATCATAAAGGAATCTTTTAGCAAATATTGAGGCAAATATTTAAAAAAATGGATAATAAAATGAACAGGCTTGGTGATGCCATGCAATTTTATGTCTGACTCTTTTGAAGACCAAAAGACAAAGTTTGAAAGCTTACTACAAGAAAATCAAACCCTCAAGAAGGATAACGAAGACATAAAAAACCGCTTAAAGCTACTGGAAGGGAAAATAGAGAATATTGAGCTTGCAGAAAGAGCAAAGAATATTCTAGTAATGGGTGCACTAAAGCAAAATCAAAGAGATACAACCAGTACTGTAAAAAAAAAATTGAGGAAATGAGCTTGCAAATATATAGTAATGAGGCTATCTTGGAGAGTTTTAGAGTCGACAAAAAAGGTGAGGGAAAATTTTAGTTAGGATGCAGAATGAGCAAACCAGAAGGGACATTCTGAGAAAAATTAAAGAATTGAGAGGCATAACTATAAGAAAATGCCGACTAGTTGTACATGAAAACCAGAGAAGTACGAAAACAAAAAGGCTACAAAGCTGCTTACTGTGTAAATGGAACAATATTTTTAAAGAAGAACGACACTGACACTGCCATAAAAATCAAGTCAGAGGCAGACCTCATGGTACTCATGTGATCAAAGGGTACCAAAGAATAAGTATGATAAAGTAAACCAATTTTCAAATTGTACGGGACCAAACGATATTCTGGATGATTATAAATGCCCAGAAGCATATATTTGTGAGGATTTAAGTCAAATAGACTGTTTTGATGATAGCGATAGGGATGATAACATAATGTATGTTAATATACGCAGCATACAGTGCGGACATAAAGTAAGGAATAAATTCAATAATAATTATTCTTCTAAGCATTTTTTTTTTAAAATCCTCGAACACGTCAATTTTATTTTTTGTCGAGTATTCTTTAGAAAATAAAATTATTACACATTTTGGTCGCACAAAAGCTGAACAGGTAGTCACTTAATTTTTTTAAATAGACACCCCTAACTTTTTTTACATTTTCGGATTTCTGATAAAATTCTAAGTATTTTCCATGAAACATGTCCTATACCTAAATTCAACTGTTTCGGAAATATTGACAGTTGACAATTGACTTTTTTGCAACTTTGAGAGGCTGTAAAACCTAAACGGTTAATTTTAGAGGAAAACCTTAGATTTTCATAAGCTATCATTTTGACACACGATTTATTGATGCTTCTATTTTCTTATCAGTGAACCAGTAGGAATGTTTATTTGTTTTTTCGGAGGTCCTTTTTTTTGTGTGTGTGTTTTATTGACTTGCAGTTGTTGACACACAGATATTCTTGCTTGTCGCACTATGGATCGTAATGTCTTTAAATGCTGCAAGAAAATTTTTAGCAGTTTTGTCTGTATCGTTTGTATTGATGTTTTTCACGGCAGTTGTCTTGACAGAAAATCTGATGTTGTCAGGTTGGGTGGGTGCAGGATACTGTGTTCCCCATTATGCCAGCGCAGTCATCAAATAGCGGAAGAACAGGAAGAAAACTACAAGGGAGTAATTGATAAGCTACGTAATGAAATTACCGAAAAAGAAAGTTGCCTCAAGCGTTTGAAGAGGAGCTCAAAAGTGTTCGAAGATGACATAATGGAAACGGAACAAAGTTATATAGGCACTATTGAAGAACAAAAGCAGCGAATAATTCAGCTCAAGGGTGAAATATCATTTCTGAATGAGGCTAATATTAAGCTTGAGGTTGACATAAAAAACACTGAAGAACGGATGGTTGAGTTCAAGCAACAAATTCAGGGACTAACCGAAATGTCAAATGGCATGATAACATCAATTAGAGTACTGGAAAATGAGAATAGACTCTACCTAGAAGAATTGAGTGAGCTCAAACAGGGGGGGACTGAGAAGACGATGAATAGCACGGGTATACAAACAGATTTGGTGGACAATACAAATGGAGTGATGCCAACAACAATAGAACTTCTCGAGGTAGAAAAAAGGATGTTTGAAGATAGAATAGCACAGAATGTGGTCAATGAAAAAAGTTCGAGGGACCAGGCTGACGTTGGCTCTAAAAACAAAATCGGTAAGGACAACGCTAATAATAATCAGAAAAACTTACGTCCGGTTTCAAGTGTCAAAAAAAATAAGCTACTATTTCTAACTGATGAATTTGGTAAATATTTGTACCCATACCTTTTGAACCAATTTTCATCTCATTTTGAAGTGCAAGTGATGTGTAAGCCAAACGCACTATTTAATAGTGTTATCAAAGATTCGTGTCTTGCTGATTTTAATAAAAGTGACTTTGTGATAGTGTTGGCGGGAACAAATAACTATAATATTAAACTGAATGACATAACGAAATTAGCAAATCAGTGCTTTTACACTAATCTCATCCTTTGCACAGTTCCAGCCAAGCATGAGGATGGCTCTCCCTTCAAGGGTATTGAGATTGTGAATAGGCAAATAGTCACTTACGTATCTAATTTAAGAAAGTTTTCAAATAACATAAACTATGTCGACCTTTACAACAAATTTAGATATTCTGACTATGTATCGAGAAATGTATTTTTGAATAGTAAGGGTTTATCAAAAATGGCCATATTCATTCATGCAGCCGTTGATGGTTTTTTCCAAGCCACGTCATTCTCCTGTCTTAGAGAAATAAGATTGCAGGCATCTGCGGTTTCAGTCGATGAGGTAATTAGTAGTGTTTGTAATGATGTTGATAATAATGTAAGTAATATTGATCCTACAATAATTGTCATTGATGATGAACTTTCAACTAATATGAATAGTACAAATTTTTTAGACGTTCCCCCACTCGAGAGCGGATCAATAGGGACATAATTCGTAAGACTAGGGTAACAGCATTCGTACTTAACATTCACTCAATTCGCAACAAAATTGATGAACTATGTGTTTTACTTGATAATAATCAAAACCCTGATTTTCTATTACTTACTGAACATTGGTTAAACTCTTCGGAACCATGTAATATACCAGGGTATTTAAACGTTTCGTGTTTTTGCCGAACTTCGGGTGCTGGATACGGCGGCACTGTAATTTTAATTAATGAAGAATTTTCACAAACCTTTCAAATTGAACCTGTAGATAAGTATAACCATCTGTGTAAAGAAAAGGAGTTTGAATTTTCAATTGCTGTTGACAAGAAAGCTAATATCTATATATTATGTATCTACCGTCCTCCGGAATCAAATATTACGGACTTCTTGATTAATTTAGAGACAATACTGGTTGATTTGCCTTCGCATTCTAAAGTTATCTTATCTGGAGATTTTAACATTGATTTTAACAGTTCTTCAGCAGCCAATCAATCTCTGCAAAATCTGCTTATTTCCTTTGATTTAACTATGCATGTACTCACACCAACTAGGATAAGTAATGGGTCTGCTACAATAATAGATTACTTTTGCACAAATTTTAATCAAGATACTACAGAGTGTGAAGTGGTCTCTACAGTTCTCTCTGATCATGAGGCATTGTTATCGCGGTTTCTTCTTCATTACACAACCTTACTACTACTCAATATAAGCGGATTTTCTCTGGTAATAACTATCAAAATTTCAGACAAGAATTAGGTCTTACTAATTGGGAACTCGTACTAGACAGCGACAAACCTATTGAGTCTCTTCATTCTGTGATTTATAAAGTTAGTGTTTATTGACTGTTTTCCGCTGCGTAAAATGAGAAAGAGACGCAAGAAGAAGTCATGGATTACTAGAGGTATCAAAATCTCAGGGAAAAATTTACGATCGCTACATCTAATTTGTAAATCTACAGATAGTGAATTTTTTAAGACGTATTTTAAAAGGTACAGAAAAATATACAAAAAGGTAATAAAAGCGGCAAAATGTTTATATTACGATAATAGGTTGTCAAACGCGCAAAATAAAAGTAAAGAAGCTTGGGCAATTGTTAACGACTTAACAGGAAAAAACTGCTCGATTAAGCAATCCGCAAACATTGACAGTGGTATATTAAACAAATTTTACTGCACTGTTGCTCAAAATTTGACACGTAATTTAAACCCATCTCTTGATCCTATGGATAATTTAAAAAACTGTCATATAGATGAAGAATTTGTACTTCGTCCCACTAATTGGAAAGAGATTAAAGAATCAATAGGTAACATAAAATGTAGCAACTCTGTGGGAACTGACGAAATGTCAATAAAATTATTTCGAAATTTAGACCAACCTGTGCTGGAGGCTCTGGCGCAAGCGATAAACAACTGTTTTTTGAAAGGGGAATTCCCTGATGTATTAAAAACTGCCATTGTTATTCCTGTACACAAATCTGGATCGTATGACGAGCCGGCTAACTTTAGGCCAATCTCACTTTTAAACACCTTATCTAAGATCATTGAAAAAATTGTAAAGAGTCGAATGCTTGAGTTTTTCGAAACAAACAAAATTTTAAGCCCTAATCAATTTGGCTTCCAGAACTCAAAAAGCACAAATGATGCGTTATTTTCATTCTTGGAAAACCTTTATTTAAATCTTAATAACAAGGAGACTGCAGCCGCAGTTTTCTGCGACTTTTCGAAGGCATTCGACTGTGTTAACCATGATTTGCTTTTGAGAAAAATGGAGGTCTATGGTTTCAGGGGTTTATCACTTGGATTTTTTAAATCATATTTAACAGGGCGATCTCAACAAGTTAAGAATGGAGCAAATGTTTCATCATCATGTAGATTGGATATAGGTGTGCCTCCAGGGATCCGTTCTCGGACCAATTTTGTTTTTATTATATATAAATGATTTAAGTTTTTTGGATATTGCGGGTAACCTAACTTTGTTTGCTGACGATACTACAATTCTTTGGAATCATAAAAACGAAACATCTTTAAAAAATATAATACAGACTGACATTGTAAAAATTAAACACTGGTGCGATTCTAATTACTTGTGCTTCAATATAGATAAAACCAAGATAATTAGTTTTAAATTTTCCTTCGCTAATTTACATCTGGCCAACCAAGTCGTAGAACAAAGTGAGAGTACAAGGTTTCTAGGGGTGATTATTGACAAGGATCTTAAATTTTCTGATCATTTATTACATTTAAATTAAAAAAATTCCTCGGGAAGCTATGCCGTACGAAAAACTCTCACAGAGTTGGGTAAAATTATGGCTAAAACAACTTATTATGCATTGATTGAATCCCACTTAAGATACGGTATTGCGTTTTGGGGAAATTGTACTCAATATTTATTTAGATCAGCATTTATAATACAAAAGAGATGCATAAGATATTTGTGTGGAGCCAAATTAAGGGATCACTGCAAACCACTGTTTTTGCAAGAAAAAATTTTAACACTAAGCTGTCTCTACATCCTGGAAACCGTGTCACTCATTCACAAAAAGTACAAAAATTCATCTCACCCACACTCGTACCAAACTAGAAATTATAATAACATCCCACTCCCTATTCCAAGGACTACTTTAACGCAAAATTCCATTATTTATCGTGGAATTAAAATGTACAATAAACTTCCACATAATATTAGAAACTTAGATTCATGCAAGATATTTAGAACCAAGGTTAAGGAACTATTGGCTGAAAAGGCATACTATAGTTTGGATGAGTATTTTGATGACGAACTGTAGATGATTTTAAATTTAATTTTGTGGCATTTTTGATAGACCTTTGTTTTAGGTTTGTCTGTTTTATTTATTTATTTTTATATGTGTGTATTTCTGTTTTATATATTTTAATTTAGATATGTACCTTAAGTAATTTTATTTTTTAATTGGAAGATAGATATTTTAAAGGTCCATTTTATTTATATTTTATCAACATTTTTAAAATTTTAACGTTGATGTATTATGTTTATCTTTATATTTAATATTTTGTTTTAAATTTTTTCATATTTTTTTGTTGTTGTTTCTTTTTTTTTTTTTTGCTGTGCTTTTTTTTTACCATAGTATTTTTGCTGTGTATCTGTTATTTGCTATTTTTGCTCTTTATTTGCCTACTGTGTACTTTTTATATTTCTGCTTTGTCAATGGAACCATGTTTTTTAGACAATAAAGCATATTTTGACTTTGACTTTGAACCCATGATTAAAAATTCCAATTAAATTTAATCTCGCATTGAATTCAAAATTGGTGTCAAATAAGTTACAGCCTCTCAAAGTTGCAAAAAAGTCAATTGTCAACTGTCAATATTTCCGAAACAGTTGAATTTAGGTATAGGACATGTTTCATGAAAAATACTTAGAATTTTAACAGAAATCCGGAAATGTAAAAAAAATTTGGGGTGTTTATTTAAAAAAATTAAGTGACTACTTGTCCAGCTTTTCTGCGACCACTCTATATAATAATTTAATTTTCTAAAAAATGCTTGAAAAAAAATAAAATTGGCGTGTTCGAGGATTTTTAAAAAAAATTGCTTAGAAGAATAATTATTGAATTTATTCCTTTCTTTACGGCTGCACTGTTATATCAGAATTTAGAGCAGTTTGTGGTTTTCTTGGAGTCAATGGGAAAATCTTCTGATATAATCGAGGATATAATAGTCATGTCAGAAACGCATTATATACACTGCAGTAGCGACTTCAACATACCTGGATATGCTATATTATGTTTTGATGAAAGTGAGCCTAATAGGTACGATGGCTGTTTAATTTATGCTAAGCAGGAATACCACATGGGAGATAGATATTGCAAGAAAAAAAACATAAAAATCATTGGTGTCGCGTGTCGCCATACAAAAAAATAAAAAGGTCATGGATGTATTAGCTACTTATAGAAGTTTTGCAACCGAATTTATTGAGAACTTAGGAAGGATTCTACAGAGTGCAACCAGGGATCAAAACAGAGTATATTTACTTGCTATAGGCATAAACATAGACTTGCTGGACTTAGACTCAGAAGTGACAAAGTCACAGATTTGTTGGTGCAATAAACAAAATGACAAGAAAAACAGAAAATGCAGGATCCTGCCTGGATCACTTCTTTATCAGGTGCAAGAACTATCTCTCGAGTGGTGTTACACCTGTAATTTTAGAAAAGATCTTACAGATCACTACCCTATCTTACTTAACTTTAAGTTGGAAGCACCAATAGCTAGTGCAAGTAACTTGAGCGTGAGCATACAATACAATAAAATTGATTATAAGTTATCTGAAAAATAGAAGGAGAGAGACGGGGTGGTGTTCTGCAGGAGATGAATGTAAATTTGAGTACTAATTACTAATCTGTTTGTAGATAGACTGAAATCCATGATCTCTGAAGTGACTGTAGTAATATCAATTATTACAAATAGAAAGAGAAGATTGAAACCATGGATCAATGGTGGCCTCATTTAGAACTAGAAATAAACTATACTACAAATCTCTCACTGAAAGAAACACCAATGATCCAAAAAAAATGTGACAGGTTATCAAAGATTTTACCAATGACCAGAGATCTATAACGCCAATAAAATGCATAATAAATGACACAAACAAAGAGGTCTCTGATATAAGAGAAGTTTCGAGTCAATTTAACTCTTATTTTGCAGCATAATAGAAAACTTAGCGAAGCAAATTGCAGAGGGCATTCAGGAGGGGTATGTGCGTGGGAAGAGAAGTGTAGATTCTTTCTATTTGGGCCAGGATACAGAGCATGATGTTCTTAGGAAGATAGGAAGTTTGAAAAATGGGGTAAAGGAAAGAGAAGATGGTATTTTGTGCAAATATAATGAGAGAGTTTAAGGAAAAGTTGGTTGTCCCTCTGAGGCACGTTATTAATATAATTTTCAATGATGGAGTTTTCCTAGAAGTCTTAAAGAGCACCATTGTAATTGTAATACCACTATACAAACAAGGAGATAAAAAGTCAAC